TTGTCTCTCATAGTTGAGGTCTACCTATGATGCCAATTACAGGCCTCTCTCATCTTTTTAAGTGGGAGAACTTGCACAATTGGTGGCTGACTAAATATACCATTTTGCCCCACTGTAGTTGTCCAATTACACAGTGCATTGAGGTCGGCTTGTAAGTTGAAGACATCCTGTACTGGTGTCCCAGTATGACATGCGGGTGAGTGCTGGTGTGGGTCCCTGAATGTTTATAGGGTGAGTTCAGGAACCCACACCCTCATGCATCCATATGTCATATTGGGACACAGCAGCGCTGTCCATGCAGCCGCGTGTCCCAGTAGACTTCAATGGGCTGCCAGTATAGGGATGCACGTAGCACTTGTGCATTACCAAGAAAACACGGACCTGGGGGGGCATGCAGTCAAGCACATGTGAATGGACCCTTACAGTGGATGTGACAGGCTTAACTGTTGTTCTGGGAAGAGGGACAACACTGCAGAAAGAAAATGGAGCAAGACTTGGAAACTAGTATACAAATTGTTACTGGATCACTGTCATTGGTTTCTCCCTCTTTCTGGTATTTCCTCTAGAGATTTTCCTGGCTGTCCTTTAGCATATAGGAATATTATTGTAAACGGATATATTCCATATAATTTTACCTCCAGCTGCCATGGTAACATTCATCTAAGAAGTTCATAGGGATTACCAGGACGGAAAGTTCGGTCTTTAGTTTTGTCTTCTTTCCAAACTGGACTAGATCCTTCATAGGCTTTTCTTCTATTTCTACATTTTCACACAATATCATTTGCTGCAAAATGTGCATGCTTTATCCTATACTTTATAGAGTTGAGAATTTTCATTCAAAAAAAGTGTGCACATTCACTTCAATTACCCAGTCATGTGAAAAGTATCTGCAGTGAATGTGGATTTGCTGTTTACATGATTGGATAATTGAAGTAAACATTGATGCAATTTTTATGGGTGAAGATTCTCAACTCTTTTAGTAAATCAGCTTTATTGTCTATCTTTTTCCATTCTACTTTTGCAACAGAACTTTTTAATAATTATAGTCAAAGTATTTATATGCTTTCTGATTATTATTGTGAATAATGCTGTATCCAGGGGCGGACTGACCATTCGAGCACTCGGGCACTGCCCGAGGGCCCGGGGTCAGTAGGGGGCCCCATGAAATGCCCCTGGTACCTTTTACAGGCTTTTTTGAGTGTGCTTTGAGTTTGGGCAAGGACACAGGGGCCCCATGATCCCCTATTGCCCGGGGGCCCCATGACTTGTCAATCTGCCACTGGCTGTATCTGTGATTTCATTAAACCACTTGCAGCATTCAGCTGTGAATCCACATTACATGTCACATTGGGGGGATTTACTAAAACTGGCGCACTCAGAATCTGGTGCAGCTGTGCATGGTAGCCAATCAGCTTCTAACTTCAGCTTGTTCAATTAAGCTTTGACAATAAGGCTCCATGCACACGAGCTGTTTTTATAACGCTGGTAATGTTAGCAGTGTAAAGTCACGTAAAAGAGTTTTTCAGCTTTTTTTTAGCATTTTTGCATTAGTGTTTAGCCACGATTAGCGGTGGTTTCCCATGTTTGCATTTTTAGCGGGTTTTTTTGGTACAAAAAAGTCCAAAAATGCTGGTTTACGGCATTTTAGCGGGTTTTCAGCGTTTTCAGCATTAGAGCATTTTTACAGCTGAAAAACTCCTCTAGAAACTAGTCCTGTTTTTCTTTTCCAGCCAAAAAACGTCATAGCCAAAAAACGTTGATTACAGTCTATGTGTACTTGGACACATAGGATAACATGCTGGGGGGTTTACTGGCTATAGAAAAAATCGTCAAAGGCCAAAAACAGCAGCTGTAAAAACGTCAATTGTGCATGAGGACTAAAAACCTGGAGGCTGATTGGTTTCTATGCAGAGTTGTCCAAGATTTTGCACTCTTCAATTTTAGTAAATAATCCCCTAAACCTGTTGAAGATACCAAATATGAGCAGGCATACTCATGCTAACTTGGAGGTCAATTTGTTGTTACTCACAATGTTAAAGTGTAACTAAACCCAGGAACCTGCATTCACTATATCTGCTCTCCCACAGTACACAGAACATGGAAGTGCAATTATTTTAGTAAATATAAACTGCTAAATACCTTTTCTCATCAGCAGTTAGAGCAGTCTTGTGACTTCAGCAGAGCACTGGTTAAAGCTTGTAGGAGGAATTTTCTTTCTGCTCTAGGAAGATGTGAAACCTCTGACCTCTGGACAGTGCTGATTGGCCCTGTGCTGAGCATATGCACCCTCCCAAGAAAAAAAAACGCTCTAGCAATACACACAAAATGGAGCATGTGCATGTGACCACGGGTTCAGCCTGTACCAGGTGGTCATTTCAACAAGAGGAGGGGCAGAAAAGAAAGGATCAAACAGCCTTTTTACACAATGTAGAGGATTAACCCTTTAGGTTCCACAGTGAGTATAACAAGCATGCTTTACTGCATGAACAGACTGATTTTACTATTGTGGGCTTAGTAACACTTTCAGCCTAGCAGTTCTCTTTGCTAGGCCAGAATACCCACAAAACATAAACAAGCAAATGGTAGAATGTTGTCCCCCTGTATAATGCTGGTCCCATGCAATCAGAATTTCATCTGGCAGATCAACAAGGAGCTATGTAGATTGCGAGCCAACCTGAACAAGCCCTTCCAATGATTTGAAATCAGCAGGTCCCAACACTGTAAGTAAAATAGGTTTATGGACACCCTAAACGGTTTATTATTGTAGGTCTAAGCTTTGCATTATTTTATTGTATAACACTGTGACTCCATGCTGTAAAGCCGCATACTTCCTTGTGCCGGGAAAGAGGTTTTAATTAGAGGAAAATTCTTTGGGGATCTGGAGGCGTACAATACTATCCAGAAGTGCCTTAAGCTAATGCAAGTTTATTTACTATGGTGAGAGAGGCCGCCAACATGAATTGCTCCTTTGTGTTATAAAGTCACGTCACTGCTGTGCACACAGACGTGTGTCTTCAGAAGACAATCACAGACCATTTGTAATGAGACAATTCAGCTGCACAACAGTTTGTCATGCTAATGCTACAGTGACATCACAGCAAATTTTCCAAATATTGGGCGAAAATATATTCTGCCATTTGAATCAATCCAGATACCTTTATTTGTACAAAGCAGATTGCCAACCATAACAAACAGTAGTGAATAATCAAATGCAGAGGCTTTGCACTTTCTAATTGAAAACCCAACATCCATAAGATATACCATACCTTCTAAAACTACCAAACCTAAAACAAAAAGCAGCTTAGTCTAAAAGACTGACTTATAGCATCACAAGCATGTATGTTAAATTCTAAAATTCTGCCTAGAAATTTCTGCCTGAGCTATTGTGTTCAGACAAGGCGACTGCCCCCCATCCAGAGGACACTGATCAGCACTTGCAGCCATTGGCTGCCAACACTGATCGAATGCTGGTTTTCCAGCATGCCTGTTTGACATTAGACCAGCTTCAGCCGAACAAACTGTTGTACACACTAACCAAGTATCAGACGGTTTCTGTTGAACCGGCCCAAACTGGATGATATTCGGCCCATGTGTACCAGCCATAAGCCTCTTTTATAGAGTATTTCTGATTGTTCTGAATCCACCTTTACTCAATGTACCATATTCTCCATGTATCACTGCATGAGTAATGTACATAGTTAAAGTGTAACTAAGAAAACATTTTTTTTTTTTTAGTTTTGGATAAAGTGGAGAGGGATTAATCACTTCAAGTCCAGACACTTTCACCCCCTTCCAGAACAGGCCAATTTTCAGCTTTCAGCACTATCATACTTTGAGTGACAATTACTCATGCAATTAGTCATGCAACACTGTACCCATATGAAATTTTTATCTTTTTTTTGAGACAGATAGAGCTTTCTTTTGGTGGTATTTAATCACCACTGGATTTTTTATTGTTTGCTATATAAATGAAGAAATATCAAAAATTTTTAAGAAAAAAACATTTTTTGCTTAGTTTTTGTTATAAAATGTTGCAAATAAAATTTTCCTAAAAAAATTAAGCCAAAATGTATTCTGTTACATTTTTGGGTAAAAATAATCCAAAACGGTGTATATTATTTATTCTATGTGAAAAGCTATAGAGTCTACAAACTATGGGATTAGTGATGGGCCAAATACCCCCCTGTTTGATTCGTGGTCGACATTAGAACCTAAGGAAAGTTTGACCGCAAACTTCAAACCAGGACAATTCACTAAGGGGTATCTTACCGCATCCAAGTATGTGGTAAGATACCGCACAGCAACTAAAATACAGCATGAGTTACATTATTAAGTCATGCAGTATTTTATTAGTGAAAACATTCTTTAATGTTTCAGCTGTCAGCAGGGTTCCCCGCTGACAGCTAAGTGTAAAAATAATTGGCAGCAAATATAAAATTCCCCCCCAAATCCATACTAAGCCCAAAATTAAGAAAAAAATGGTGTGTGGGTTCCCTCAAAATCCATACCAGTCCTTTATCCAAGCACGCAGCCCAGCATGTCAGGAAAGGGAGGGATGTGCACCCCCTCCCTCCTAAGCCATACCAGGCTACATGCCTTCAACATGGGCGGGTGCTTTGGGGCAAGGGGGGTTCCTCTTCCAAAGCACCTTGTCTCTTTCCCACTACAGAGGCCAGTTTTGGTTGTGGGGGTCTGCAGGCAGGGGGCTTATCAGAATCTGGATTACGACCTTCCCCCCTCAAGTGAATGAGTATGGGGTACATGTTACCGCTGTTCATTCCCAGATAAAAAAGTGTAGTATAAAAAATGACAGAAGACATTGACCAGTCCTGTATTAAAAACAAAAATTTCAAAAATGTCCCCCAAAGTAGATTGAACATCAATCAAGATGCTCGCCACCGCCGACCCGAAAAAAAAAAAAAAATCTCCTCTCTCAACATTGGCTCCTGGCCATCTGACAAGTGCGCTGGCCTGACAATTCTTAAATAAAGTCACCCGGTTGGTGTCATCATGTGCTGTAATTAGCCAAAGAGTTGCACCTGACCTGGGATCAGGTGCATTGCTTTGGCCAATCACAATGCACTGTCAGAGCATAGTGCATTGTGGGGCACAGTGGTTGAATAGCCTGCCGAATGTTCAACTCAAACATCAAGTTTAACATTATAAGGGATATATGTGGAAATAGATCAATTGAGACCCTAAAATGCCAGACACTGGTATGACGCATTGTAGTAATCAGGACGCTGGTATGGCAGTGATCAGGACATTAGTATGAGGTATGGCAGTGATCAGGACGCTGGCATGGCAGTAGTCAGGATGCTGGTATGGGGTATGAGGGTGATCAGGGTGCTGGTATGGGGTATGGCGGTGATCAGAATGCTCGTATGGGGTATGGGGTGATCAGGATGCTGGTATGGGGTATGAGGGTGATCAGGATGCTGGTATGCGGTATGGTGGTGATCAGAATGCTCGTATGGGGTGATCATCATGCTGGTATGGCAGTAGGTAGGATGCTGGTATGTGGGTGAGCAGGATGCTGGTATGGGGTATGGCGGTGATCAGAACGCTCGTATGGGGTGATCAGGATGCTGGTATGGCAGTAGGCAGGATGCTGGTATGGGGTATGAGGGTGATCAGGATGCTGGTATGCGGTATGGCGGTGATCAGAACGCTCGTATGGGGCATGGGGTGATCATCATGCTGGTATGGCAGTAGGCAGGATGCTGTTATGTGGGTGAGCAGGATGCTGGTATGGGGTATGGCGGTGATCAGAACGCTCGTATGGGGTGATCAGGATGCTGGTATGGCAGTAGGCAGGATGCTGCTATGGGGTATGAGGGTGATCAGGATGCTGGTATGGGGTATGGTGATGATCAGAATGCTCATATGAGGTATGGGGTGATCAGGATGCTGATATGGGGTATAAGGTTGATCAGAATGCTGGTATGGGGAATGGTGGTGATCCGAACGCTGACATTGGGTATGGAGTAGACAGGATATTGGTATGAGGCATTGTGGTGATGAGGCCACTGGTATGGTGTATGGTGGTGATCAGGTGCTGTTATTGTGTATGGCAGTTATCAAGGTGCTGGTATGGCATATGGCGGTCAACAGGGTGTTGGTATGGGGTATGACGGTGATCAGGGCGTTGGTTTGGGTTATGGTGGTGATCAGGACACTGGTATGGTGCATGGGGGTGTTTTTGTGCACACTGGGACAGGTGACAGGAGTTGGCTGCATTATTTATTATGAAAATACTGGGGCACTGATCAGAGACACTGGGGCACTAAACTGGGACACTGGGGTGGCTGGCACAGCAGTCTGTGAGTGTACATGCAGTCTGAGAGGTTGCTGTACACTCACAGGCTGCAGGATCGCTTCCTTCTGCTCGCACACTGAGAGCGGACAGAAGCAATCTTAACTTCCACTTTCCAGTGTGGTCACAGCAGCCACATGGTAAAACACCATGTGATCACCCGGACACAGTGGTAATGTGATCTGCTATATCTGGGCGATATACCAAACGCTGGGCTCCTGGGTGCGTGTGTACTGATGTACAGTTACATTAGCCTGCATCAGCAAGGTTTCCTGCCCGCTGGTCTATATGCAATGGACGGACAGGAAGAGGTTAAAACACCTATTGGGATTTTATTAGGCTGTCTGTTCCCCTGTTAGGAAGATTCACCCTCTCTATTTGTTCTGTTTACTGTTATCATTGGGAATGAAAGTAAAAGATAACATTTTGGGTTGTCCCCAGAAAAAAAATAGAAGGCAAATCTATCAATGGGGACACTAGTTCTGGTGAACCTGGTGTCATTCCAGGATTCCCTCACTTTGGTGGGATCTCCTCTCACTTCCTATTTTGGCTATGGGACAGGAAGTGAAGGTTAGTCTCCCCAATAGGACACACAATGGCAAAAAAAACTGACAGGGGTTATAACTCCTTTATTCTATCCAAAATGAAAAAAAAAAAAGTTTTGCCTTTTGTTCTACTTTAACAAAGTTAAAAATGAAAGATAAAACTGACCAATTTGTAGCACTGAAAATAATGCCAAAAATGTGTTGCTATGCAGAGGCACCATAATAATGGGTATAATGGGTACCAGTGTTATATGACCGTTCCATAGGTATGAATATTTTCTTCTCCAATGTGCATTAGAAGAATCTCAATTCATGGTCATTTAGCAGCAGCCATTGAGCAGCTTCCAGCAGTGCACAAAGTGAGGATCCGGAAGGAGCATGGACAGGTGGATATCAGACTTTGGGGTGCTGTGGGGGTTAGGGAATCAGTTAAAGGAGAATAAAAGTTGTTGTCCATTAAAGTGGTTGTAAACCTTTACATATACCTAGTGTAGTGACTGGCCTCAGGTGATACACAGAGATGAAACAAACCATCCTACATAACTTGTATCTGTCTGCAGTCTCCTCTTCTCTACAGCCATTCAAAGTCCAACATTTATAAAGATTGTCTGAGCTGTCAGAAAAAGGGGCTGGAGAGCTGACATTACACACTGCAGAGCTCAGAGAGGAGAGCTCTGAGAGCTGACTGGAGGGAAGGGACACACCCGTTTTCACACAGCACACAGAAACACAGCTGAGGCTGTCTATCATCTGGAGGTCCTTCCCTGTCACCATTTTTCTTGTGGTGTCAGGAAAACTTGTCATAAGTGACTCATGCTGATAGCAGAAGAACTAAGCAGTAGGCAGAAATGACACTTGTTAATTGAGACAAGTACACACTATAGAAGGATATCGTTGTTCAAATTTCATGTCTGAGATTTAGAAAACTACCATCAGAACCTAAATCTATTTTGTTGTTGCAATTGCTTTATACACATGATTGCCTTATACTTGGATTATCAAAACATGCATAATTAGGCTAAGAAATAATGGAAATCCCAGAAACTCTAATGCCAAAGAAAATACTAGTAATTGGCTAAAAATATCAAACATGTCAGATCGCAAGTTCTGGTAAGAACAATGGGATAAGGGCGTCTGCAGGAAAACAGGGACCGTCTGTAAAGTTGCAATTTTGATTACTGCCAACTGATTCGCACTTGCCATAGGACATACAGGCCGACATGCTGAAAACAGTTCATTAACTTTCTTTTTCTTATTAAAGAACACAGCAGATTATATGCCTATTATTATGAGCAGCACAGTGGACTATATTGTTATATAGATTTAATATACTTTGCCATGCACTGCATGACCCTAGTGTGAAAGAGGCGTACAAGAAATCTGTGTCTCAGATTGACCATATTTAAATTAACAGTGTTGCTGAATATAAAACTATAAATGATAATCTGCTGGATAATATTTGCAGAGGTGTTTTCTTTAACCCCTTCAATACCGGGCACTTTTACCCCCTTCCTGCCCAGGCCAATTTTCAGGTTTCAGAGCTCTCACACTTTGAATGACAATTACGCAGTCATGCAACATTGTACCCAAACTAAAATTTTTTATCATTTTCTTCACACCACTAGAGCTTTCTTTTGGTGGTATTTAATCACCACTGGGGTTTTTATTTTTTGCTAAACAAAAAAAGACTGAAAATATTGGAAAAAAAATACATTTTGTTTCTGTTATAAAAGTTTGCAAATAAATAATTGTTCTTCATAAATTTAGGCCGAGATGTATTCTGCTACATGTCTTTGGTGAAAATAACCCAAATCAGTATTTCTTATTTAGTCTGTAGGAAAGTTATAGAGTCCACAAACTATGGTATAGATCTGAAAATTGATCAATCCTGAAGTACTGACAGCCAATCTAATTTCTTGAGGCCCAAAAATGTCAGAACAGTACAGATATCCCCAAAATGACCCCTTTTTGCAAAGTAGACAGTCCAATGTATTTCATAACAAGCATTACGAGTTTTTTGAAGTTGTAATTTTTTTGTCATAATATTTTGGAAAATAAAGAAATTAAAAAAAATATTTTCACAATTTTTTTTTTTTTTTGCATACTGTCAGCAGTGCAGTACAGCATCATCATATAACTGGTGTGGCGGTGATCATGGACACTGACTGGTGACAGTACGAAAAAAAATAGATTTTTTTTTCAATTTTGTATTAAATTTTTTTTCTCTTTTTTTAAAGATTATTTTTCATATTACACTATGAATAGTAACATTGTACTACTTTGGGGAAGTGATCAGTATTTTTTTTTTTTTTTTTATACAATTCGAATGTTTTATAGTAAAGAATTTCTTTGCTATAAGCAAGCATTTAACTGAATGAAATCGATTCATTCAGGTTTTTTTTTGTTGTGATTAGCTGTGATTGGCCACGGCTAATCACATTACACAGATGGGCTGTGATTAGCCCAGCCTGTGCATGTGATCACTGTGACCATTCACAGCTAGGCACACTTGTATACAATGGATGGAATGAAAGGAAGCCATCCATTGTATTCAACTGTCATGTGACCTGCTGTGATTGGTCACATGGTACTGGCAATGGGGCCAGTACACAGATCTGTCATTGGCCTTGTCCGAGGTACACAGCTGCTGACAGATCTCGCCACAGCGCAGCCCTGCAGGCACATGCAAAGCACGATCCGGGAAGGACGTCATCTGACGCCCTCCCGGAGGGATGAGAGGCTCGCCTGGCCATCATTTTATTATAGGCCGGGTGGGAAGTGGTTAATTACAGTAAAGTAATGTAAGTAAAGCATGCCAATGTCATCTCAGTACTCTAATCAGAGTCTATTGGCTACAAACTTTAAATAAAAAATAATTTTTATAACAATTTTTAATAGAATTATACATAGATAAATGCAAGAAAACAAGATGCAGAGTGCCAGGTCAGTGTAGATAAGAGCAATAGTACTTTATTCCAAAGAAAACTTACATCTTAAAATCCCTCAGCGAGTATGGCAGATGAAGGGCACCGGAGCCAGGGACATCAAAGGAGCAGATCCGATGAAATATACATGGCCTGGGAGGAGACCTGCAGTAATGGATGAACGGCGTCTCTGGATGCAAGTAGCAAGGAGAAATGACAGGTGCTGTGAATGGAACAGAGGGCGGGCTGCAATGCGTTTCAGAAGCTCCGCCTCCTTTGTCAAGCTGTATTTCTTTAATTATTTTACTCCTTTTACTTTATTTAATTTTGTTCATATTTTGATACAATGTATTTTATTTATACTTATTATTTCCATCTTCTGTGTGAGCGCTGAAGGTTGTTCATTTATTAATGATCATCTCTTACGCTTATACATAGATAAAAAATAGCTGTTGGCCAAAGTATCATGTCTATAGGCCCATTTACACTGACAGGCTCAAAAATGCATACATTTCTGAAAATTTCATAAGCTGTAGAAGAGTGTTAGAAATGCAATGTCTGCATGTTACAACACGGCTTAAAGTATATCTGTGGTCAAAATGTAAAACTATATATTTACTTATACATCGTATTTCAATTGCTTCTAGCCTAATGCTACTACACTGATTGATCTTGATGTTTGTAAACTTATTTTATGAAGCTCCCCACACATTTAGGCTCCATGAACACTAGCTTTTTTTTTAAAACTAAAAAAATGCTAGGAAAAAAAGCTAGATAAATATGATAATAGTATTTTTTTGCCAGCTTGTAGTAACATTTTAGAAGCATTTAGGAGCATTAGCGTTTTATTAGCATTTTTACAGTACATGCAGAAAAAAAAAGCTAGAAAAAAGCTGTTAGGAGCGTTTTAGTAGCATTTAGCGTTTTTTTTCTGCCGGAATAACGTTCCCAAAGCCTCTACAAAAACATTTTTTTTTCTGCTCCTAAACACTGAAGCTTGAAAAATGCTACTAGGTTAAAATAGTGTGCATGGATACATAGGATAACACTATTTAGCTTCTAGGAACAGAAAAAAAAAGTTCTGATAACAGCTTCTAGGAGTATAAAAAGACACTAGTGTGCACGGAGCCTTATACAGTATATTTGAAAATGTGTTTTTAAATTTTTTTTTATATATTTTGTAATAAAAACACATTTAAACATACAGTAATATATATATATATATATATATATATATATATATATATATATATATACACACACACTACAATTTTGGCCATATTCAATATATATATATATGGCCAGACTCATCTACCTCACCAAGCGCTCCACATCTGCCTCCCCCCTCTGCCAATCCCTTCATTGGCTCCTG